CTTTGGAGGTCCAGCTTTGTCAATAATTCTTTGTTATATTTTAAATTTATATGGGAATAATGTTCCCCCTCCAATTTTTATTTTATTAAAAAATACTTTAGAATTATTTACTTTTAGGTAATTATTAAATAAATTAAAAAAAATTATAATTTCTTTAAAAAAGATTTTGGAATTCACCATTAATGTTAGAAATTCCTCAAAATTATTTAAATATTCGAAATTTGTTAGATTGGAATTTAAATAAAGAAGCAGAAAATCGTTTAAAATTAATTCCAACAAATTTACGTAATTATTTAATTAAACATTCACAAATTATTTGGCCAATTATAACCCCTGGTTTTCCTACACAAAATGTTTTGTTTAATATTAATGATTCTACTTCACAAATAATAGAGAGGGAAGTACATAAAGGATTACAAAAATTGGTGATGTTACAAGATAACATTAATCAAAATAAACCTTTATGGACTGTTAAAAATCTTTGGGGAAATTTTTTGAAGAAAGAAGAAAAGTTTGAAGAAAAGGTTTCTTTAATTTTTTGTCAAAAGAAGGTTATAGCTTTGATTTAGGATGGTTGGCGGATTCAGATCCGAAAAACTTTAGTTCGAATATTGGTTCTGGGTATCTAGTTAATTCCCAGGATACGCTAACCCGATTTAAGACGCCTATCACGTGAGGGTGTTTATTACGTTCGCTTTATGCCCCATAACATTTTTCTGATTATGGACGATAGTTTATTTATGACGAATTTAGAAGCCTTCTAAACTAACCAAAATTTGGATAAATAGGAAGGTTTAAAGGATTAAAAAAATGTTAGGGTTCCAAAGTCTCTATGAAATAAGAAAGTCCTATGATCGCGCATCCTCTCATTCTCATACACAGGACATGTCCTAAAAAAAGAATCTCCAATTAATAACATTAGCTATAGGTTCCGAATGCACTATCATTAAAAAAAAGAATTTTTGACGCAAAAGTGGGCGTACTACCCCTTATGGTTTTCAATTTTCGAGGTACACAGGCATTTACGCAATTATCCCCCTAAAATCATCAAAAATGCACGATTTTCGGATATTCCTAATATCATTCCGTTCACTAAATTAAAAATTTGAAATAGAAAACATATTAATTAATAAATTTTAAGTACAAGCATTATTTGTGTATTGTGTGTAGTTATTCAAGTAAAAGTGAATATGGTTCTGATTTTTGTGATTTTGTTGGAACCAGAATTAGATTACAATTATTATTTTCTATAGAAATATTGCCGTTTATTTCTTTTTGTCATTTAAATCCAAAAAAATTAAAAAAAGAAAATGAAAAATGTTTTTTAAAAGAAGAAAAAGAAAATAATTATTGTACAATTTGGTTAGTAGGGATTTCAACAAAACAATGGTATAAACAAAAATTTGAAGGAAATGATTGGGAAAATGCTTTAAAAAATTTTGTATATTATATTGAACATTTTGGGTTTAGAAAAAAATATCCAGAAATTTCAGCAAAAGAAGGGGGGAATTTATTTAATTTAAATGTTTTTTATTTAACTGGTGAACAAGTAAAGAATAAATGGAATTTGTGAAAGAATTTTTATAATCTAGTATGTACATATTTGTTTTGTATTTTATATTTATGTATTTTATAAATTTATTAGTTTTTCTAAAAAGTTTCTCTAATCCTCTTAAGCGTTGCAGGCGAAACTCCTTGAATTTTTGTGGGCCAAGATACATATGTATATCCTCTGATATCCCTTCACAGAATATTTTTAAAATACCCGTTAATTATAATAGTTCCAAAAAGAGGCTTTAATTTTTTGAACTATATTCTCTTCAACATTTTTTAAATTTTTTTCTAAAAATTTTTCCCTAAAATTTTCAAAAATTAATTCAGAATTTTTGATTTTTTTACATTTTTTTATTCCGTATATTTTTATCTCAACTAATTTTATAACAAAACATAGTCAATAAAACATTCATTTTTATTGAAATAAATAAATAGAAAATTCATCTCTCTGGGAATGTCTTGTAAGATCAAAATCAGTCAGGCCTCACGTGTAGGGATTTAAAATTCAGTTTATCCCTGGATGGGAGAGGCTGGATAGGCGATACACCCATTTTTAAGGATTTTAAGGTAGGTAATTATTTTTTACTCCCAAAGGGTGTACCTACAAGTGAGGTCTGCCTTTATAATAAATATAAAAAAATTTTTTGTTTAAAAAATTTTCGCTCAAAAAGATTTGTTTGCCTTCTTAAGGACTAAAATCATGCTCACAAATTGTTGAAATATCCTCACTCATTTCCACCTCTTCAGTAACTTGAGAATTACTCGAAACAGCTTGAAGCCATTGAACTTCGCGCTCTTGACTTGCTCTAGGTGTTGAAGTAACAATACGTTCTGGGTCAAATCCTCCGCGTTCATGAAATGAAGAATCCATTGTATCGTTGAGAGAACTTGCGTCAGTTGTAGTACGGTGTCCAGTTCTACCGAGACGTTCTCTTTTAACAATTTGTATGCATTCACTAATTTTTTGTAAAATAGGCACATCATTATCCTTTAAATATTAAATTAAAATTATACTGGGAAAAAAAGTAATTTAATATTTTCGGCGATATTGTCGTCCTCATTTTTCCACTTAAATTCGTTGCTAGGTTCTATAGTTAATTTCGAATTTTTTAATATTTTCAGGACCTAAGGCAACCGAGTCTGTGACCATCCGGAGGCTATTGGCACTCATAGGGTGAAACCCAAGTAGGCGCGTGGACATAACGGCGCATAACTTGCTTCAAGATTTCCGAATCTTAACAAATTTAGTATTAAACGATTCCTCTCATCGAGCTAAAGAAATTGGTACCAAAATTGATAACGTGTCGACGCAGAAGACCCACAGACAGAAGACCCAAGGACAGAAGACCCACAGGCAAAAGACCCACAGACAGAAGACCCACAGGGACAGAATACCCACAGACAAAAGACCCACAACTATTTTTCAGTTTTATTGTGCATGAATTTTGGTGCGAGGGATGTTGTTAATTTTATTAGTTTTCCCTGATAAGAGGGTGATCCAACAACGGGAAAAGTTGTTTCTATATTAGCGAAAGACGTTCCAATAATCGGGAAGGGTGTTCCAGCAATGTAAAATGTTGTTCCAATAACGCGGATGTTATTTTAACAATGGGCATGTTTGTTGCAAAAACGGGACAAGTTGTTCCAACATGGGAATCTCGTCCCAATGTCAGGGGAGCTTTTTTAACAAAAGTGGATCTTGATTTTTCGGATTTTCAGGATTTTTAATCCGGTCCAGGTCGTGTCAAAAAACATAATCTAATCGGGTTCAGATATAAAAATGATATAAAAATAGCTAATTGGCCTTCCAAAATTTTCCAAAACTTAATACCCCTTGATTTAAGATTAATACCCCATGATAAAAGATTAACTAATACCCCTTTTATACTTCTATATCCCTCCACATGTAGGGATATAGGATTAGAAGTGGCCAAGGGTATTGGAGATATGCAAGGATGTCGTGGATCATCGGTATTAGCAGAGATTAAGTAATTATTTCTGAGTAAAATGGAGGGATATCACTTGATAAAATTGGATTAGTATCATTAAAAAATCTTAAAAGGTTTAAATCCGTTTACATCCCTTTAAATCTTCTGACATACCCGATTTTCTGTTAAAAAGAGATATTGGAGTATCCTTCTCCCGCTTCCTGTTCAAACAATTTACGGATAAGAATAGACATCGGTGAATTTGAGGGGTTTTTACCCCTATATCGTCTAAATCCCACGCTATTCCTACATATCCCAATTAATCACCCGACTCTTCAATCCACTTTTCATTAATCAAACATTATTGATTAATTTTGAAATAAATTTTTTTTAATATTTTAAAAATATTTTTTTAAATCTTGTGCCTAGAAAAATAGACTAGTCTTTTCAAAAATTTCAGAAAATTTCTTTTTAAGTTTTGGTTAAAATATTATTCTTGTGGGTCTTTTGTCTGTGGGTATTCTGTCCCTGTGGGTCTTCTGTCTGTGGGTCTTTTGTCTGTGGTTCTTCTGTCCTTGGGTCTTCTGTCTGTGGGTCTTCTGTCACTACGCCATTGATAAGGGCCAGGAAAGTTCTAGCAAGTTATGGCTTTGCGCCGTTATGGCCGCGTGCCTGCGTGTCCCGTACTCTTAATTGCCCCGATATACAAAAATTTGTAAAATTCAAAGGATAAGTTCAGAACGGCAACGAACGTCACTTATTACCCATTCCTTCATCCCAAAAAATTTTTTTATCAAAAAAATAAATTCAATAAACTTACATTATCATCAACTTTATCCTTCATAATATCCTTCACTTTATCTCCTGTCTCCCCAATTTGTTCTTTAATACTTTCTGACAGTGCACGATCAGCATGAGTATATTTAAATTGTGTATTTGTGTCAGTATTTGAGTATTCTTCTAATTGTTTTCCCATAATACCTTCAGAGATTATTGTTAAACATTTTTTGAATTCACAATTTCCATAAAATCTATTAACCTACAAAATTTTTTTAATCAGAAAATAATATTTTTAAATTTTCTAACCATTTCATCAACAGTAGAAACATCATCAGTTCTAGGTCCAAGAAATTGAATAATCGAATCATCCACATTTACAGCCTTTTTATCTTCTCTTTTGACTCGCACAAAAATCTATTTTTTAAATTAAAGACTTTTTGTTTAAATTAAAAAATAAAATGTCCTAAAGATTTCTCGACTTTTTAAGGAATACCCTTTCCTTGTTCTAAAACTATTAATCCAAAATGAAAAATACATTAAAATTAGGAGGGCACGATCCGGCCCAGTCAGAAAGATCGAGTCGGGCATCAAATTTTGGCCCAAAAAGACCCGGTCGGGCCGGCCCGATAAAAATTAAGCACGAAAAAATAACTCTAACGTCAGCCCGACTCGAAAACACCAAAACCCTAATTAAAACAGTTGAGGACCCCCTCTCTCATTTATTCCACTAAAAATATTTTAAAAAATTGTAACCATTTCAGTAGCATTAGCAACGCGATCCATATATTTAGCCCCAAATTTTCGGCCATTGATAGGCTAAAATAAAAATTTTATAAATTTTTATATTCGATGAGAAAGGCATAGAATATTCAAATTTTATTTTTTTTTCTGCAAATGTTAGCGGCAAAAAATTAATTTGTCCATTTCTAATAATTTAAGCTAATTTCATTATCACTTGGGGTGGGAAAAATCGTACCCTAAAATAAATGTTAAATTTAGGACAGATCACCACCCAATAATCAATTAAATTTTAACAAATATCTTAAATTTTAGTCTGGCTAGACATAATAAATTTAAACAAATTTACCGGAATATTCAACCATTTTCCAGAGTAAACAACTTTAAGTCGGACACGTGGTGGAAAAGGTCTACTAGGTTCGCGCGCAATCTCTGCCGATTCCAACATTTGTTCAATTTTATCTTCTATAAGTTGTTCATCCTTTAAAAAATTATTAATTTTTAAAAATTATTTTTTATATTAAACCTTCATATTTTTTTGTCGAATAGTTGTTTTTGAAATTTTTGCAGAAGGTTCAGCTTCATTTAAATCAAGTTCATCAATTATTAATTGCCTAACAGTCTTCATTTCAATCTTTTTTAATTTAAATTGTTTTCTATGTACTGACCTTAAAAATGAAGAATTTTTTTTAAATCGTTCAACCATCAACAATCCACATCAATTATAACTTTTACGATGATAATAGGGTGAGAACATCGTACAACTCTGACAAGAAAGTTGAGGATATTTAATAGGAAAACGAAAAATGGGACAACGTCTATCTCAAAGACATAAACATTGTCATAGAAGGCCTTCCACCAAATAAGGCCTCCAAAATTCTCAAAATTTAAAGCGCAAAAAATCATAATTTTAGGCACCTTAGGGCCAAACATTCGGAGCCTAAAATTATCCCCACATGCCCCCCACCCCTAAAAAATTCCTGACTACGGTCTTGGTTATAAGCTTTTCAGTAGATTAGGTTATGTGAGATAGAAGGCCGCACCCCTTACAAATATTTAATTTCAACCAGAACCCAACCCTTTGTCAAAATATTACTTTAAAATTCATGAAAAATACTTATAAATATTAAAAAATTTCTGAAAAAAATTACATAATTCCAATATGCTTCCTTTTTGCTTCTTCAGTACTTAATGCAGTAGCAACTGTACTTCCTGGTTGAATAATATAAAAAGATTTGTTTTGTCCATTAACGTCAAAAGATTTGAAATCTGGATCTAAATTTTTTAAAATAAATTAAAATTAATTAATTAAAAAAACCAATAAGGCACTCATGTTCATGACCCCAAATAACAACATCAAAAAAATCGGGAATACATTTGAATGAAACATGTGATTTTGTACTTCGAAGTTTGCTACGAGGAGGACGATTCTGATGAAGAACAAGAATATAAAACCAATCATCATCTTCCGGACGTTTGAATTTTATCTTTCCTTCTAAAAACATAATTTCTTAAAATCATTTAAAGAATTAAAATGATTGTGGACTTTAGAGATCGAGCTGGACCTGGACCAAGGCAGAGGTTTTTCATGTATCCAGAGTTCCAGACCCAGGCATTTTTGACCTTCCTGGGTTTTTCCTGTACTACAGGCCCAGGTCAATAAATCAAACCCAGAGTTCAGAAAAAGGTCCAGGCTTTTCAAAAATCTCGATCTCTAGTGGACCTTTAACGATGTAGTTATAGTTAAAAGCTAAAAATAGTCCTTAAAGGTCCTAAAAATTAATTTGGTATGATATGAATTATGTAAAAGATTCCAATTATTTTAAACAAAAGAGAAATCTTAAAATTAAATTACTCGAAAAAGCCCGCGCCAAACGATCGTCACGCTGACTTCCAATCCCATACAAAGCAATTTTGGTACATCCTCGTTTTAAAAGAATTGGTGCAACTTCAAGCTAAATTTAATTAATTTTAATTTTCTATTTTTAAATCTAACAAACATGATCTAAATCAGAATATTTTCCAAATAAATTTAAAAGGCCGGATTCGTGAAGAACATCGAGAGCTGATAAACCCTTAAAAATAATAAAAATCATAAGATTAAATTAGTTTTGCAGAAAATCCGCAAATTACCCGGAAATTTATGAAAATACTTATTTAAAACAGAAAAAGCAAATTTTGAAAAAATAAAAGATTAAAATCAAAAAGCGAGAAACAAACGCAAAATTGACGTGTTAATTTTACGCCTGACCCAATGATTTCAAAGTCGCTCGCGCCGATGAGAATGAGGCAATGGCAAATCCCATGATTTTCGAAAATGGGTAAGATTTCTCAGATTACCTAAGGACCCCAATCGGACACTAAAGTACGTCCTTAATAAAGCGCAATATTAAATAGTAATTCGGGTTTTTGACAGATAAGCGCTAAGGTTGGCGAATAGTTTGAGATCCTCTGATACCCGGATTCGATATCCGAACTCGAAAACTTCCGGATATCCTGCCTTTTCGCTTAATAAGCACTATAAAAGCCAAATAAAAATTACTTGAAATCCAACAAACCTTCCCCGACAAATCATCATGATTTCCATGAATAGTAAATATAGGCACTGTAATACACAAATTGTCGTCCAGATAATTCACAGAAGGAAAATTGCTGTGTTGGAAGTTGATTGTTGGATCGGAAACAAAATCCAAGTCAGGCTTTTCCCCTTTAGTGCAGTAAGTCCGCAGAAGACGAACAACTTTAAGTTGTGTTTCACGTGATGGGTGATTTTCATGGAAGAGATCACCAGCTAAAAAATAATTTAAAATTAAAACTTTAGATTAAAAAAAATACCCAATAAAACAAAATCAACTTTGGCTTCTTTTGCATTTGAAAGAACTTCGCGTAAAGATTCAAAAGAATCATTTCCGATATATTGCTTGTTTTCTCCATATCCTGCATGAATATCAGAAGCAATTAAAAATTTAATAATGTCAGAATCGAGCACCATCAATAAGGAGTCTGAAAATAAATTGATATCTTGAAGGTTAAGACCCAAGCTTTACAAAATCAAAAATGGAGATACATAATTTCGACAGTGACTAAAATCGACGGTCAACTATTCTTTCTTTTTTTCCGTTTGTCTCGAGTTCACGCCTGTGGCTAAATTCGATGGTCAAGCAAAATTTTAAAAAAAAGCTACGTATAGAAAAAAAAATAAAATTTTCGGTAAAGGTAAATTTAAAGTCGCCGATTCGGTGCGCCGTCATTTGCGCTGCGATTTCTCCGCCGCGCCCTAAAAATAAAAATATGTATGATTAACAACTAGGCTGTGCACTAAAATTTTTCAGTGGGTCTGCCAAATGCCAAAAGCAATTTTTCAAAATTTTAAACTCGCCAAAACCAAAACGCCAAAAATTAGCCAAAATGAACACAAGCGCCAAAATTTTTATGAAGCATAGTGGCCTTATTAAGAAGCATAAGGGCCTTTATAAGGGCCAAACTCAGAAATCCTTCTTTAAATAAAAAATACAAGAAATATGTATGTGTTTAAAATTTTCTGGCGTATTTTAAAAAGGATGGCGTAAATTAAAATTTTGGAAAATTAGCGTTAGGCTTTTGGCCTCCCGGTTACCGGAATGCTCGAATTAGTTTTTAAATTTTAATCGACTTAATATTCTATATAGGTACATAATATAATTTGACATATATTTTTCTGCAGTTACCTTTTATAATTAAAAAAAAAGTTTAAATTTTTCACAATTTTGTAAATTTAATTAAACTCAACTACATATTATTTATTTATTATTTTAAGTTTATTTAGATTCTATCAGATATTAGAAAATTCTACATAATGGCTGAAGAAGGATTATCAAATTCTGATTGGATTCGAATTGCAAAACAAAATGTTGATTTAATTAAGCTTCAAACTGAATTTAACAATCTTCAATTAAAATTTATTGAAGAGAAGGAAAAGAATCTAAATCTTGAAAAGAAAAATTCATATCTTGAAAATGAATTGAAGGTAATGTTGTGTAATTTTTTGTTAATTTTTTTTTAATTTTAGAAACTTCAAAAAACAAATTGTGACAATGAAAATAAAATACAAAAAATTAATTTTGATCATAAGAATGAAGTTGAAGAAATTAAACAAAATTTTCAAAAATTAATTGGAGAAAATAATAAACAATTAAAAGCTGAAAATGATGTTTGTTTAAAGAAAAAGGATGAGCAAATTAATTATTTGGACGAAGAAATTAGAAAGGTAAATTAACTATACTAAATCGGTTTGTCCGTCACACAATTTTTACAGTATTTGCAAAGAAAAGGAGAATTTATTTTGACACGAAAAATTTTCATAAGAGAAAATAAGAGAGAAAAAAAGTTGTTTTTCCCTAATTCTTCAGAAAAATTTAAGTGTAAACAACAAACAACCAGCCGTTTGCCTTTTAATCGCAGGCGTTACCAGCCGTCTGCCATTTGAACGCACTCAGTTAGTTTTTGATAAATTAATCGCAGCCATTTAGACGTAAAATGAACTTTTATTTTAACCATTAGAGTCATCACGGTTGAGTCTTATTTAAAAAACACCGTGGGTTTAAGAGTTCACGAGGAATATTGTCTTTTTCAGTGCCGCAGGCGTAAATTCTGAAAATTTTGGAAGGCCAAGAAGCCTGGTTTCTTCCCCCTTTCCAGCGCCGCAGGCGAACAGTTTGAAAATTTGGTGAGGATATTATTGGACTACGGGAGTTAAAAGGGAAACCTGAGATTTTTAGAGATATCAAGGGTTAGGAGGGAAATCATGTGATTTGGAGAGGAATAAATAGAATTGAAGATCTTATTTAAAGTAGGGATATGTAATAATTTGGAATGATAAATTCTGATAGAAAACCATTTGAGAAATATAAGATGTTGGTCATTAAGAGGAAAATCGTAGGATCCTGAATATTAATAATGATATATTAGTTATAGATTCAAGTGTTTTGAAGTTTAATAGGGTATTTTGAAGTTTTATAGGGCATATGAAAAGTAACAGAGATATAGAAGCGCAATATGAAGAGAAATATCGACAATGTTAAAAGGTAATATAGAGTTCAGAAATTTTAGAGATATAATAGATTTCGAAAGATGAAGAGGGCTGTTATAAAATTAAGAACTATGGAATTTGAGGGAAAATGAGGGGATTACACGAGATTAGTAGTGATATCGGATATTTTGACTTAAATCTTGGCTTAAAAGATTAAGGGGATTTTGTCCCTTAAAGAATTGTTTAGAGATATCGAAGAGATAGGAGTATTTTATTAAGATAATTAAAAAGGGTAGCAGAGTATTTTTGGACTAAAAAGTAATATCTAACTGGAATTTTTGGGAAAAATGTGATAGCTGAAAGTGAGTGTGATCAAGTGAGATATTGTATTTGGAAAAGAGATTTCAAGTTGTTAAGGGATATTGATAAGAGAGAAATCTGAGGACTTTGAGGATAACGGCTGATATATGTGAACTGGTGTGATTAAAAGGGATTTAATAGATTTTGAGGGCTATAGTGTGATTCTGAGATTTTGGGCTTATTACGAGTAGTAACAGAGATTTGGCAAATAAAGAGGGATTTTGGGATTTGGTTGAGATTAAGAGAGATAAGAGTGGATCTAGGGAGTTCGATGGATAAAAAGTCATATCTGGGATTGAGTGTGATAAATGACGTGATAAAAATTTGCAATGTTGATCAAGATAATGCGGAAAAGGATTTTGGGGATAAACGCGATATCCTTGATTTTGGGGTGGTTAAGAGGGATATCAGAGCAACTTAGGCTAAAGGATAATATTTGGGATTTTAGTTATAAATTGTGGTGATACGGCAATGGGATCCGTCTGGAAGAAATTAAAAGGTGTACAGCGAGCGTTTGTTCGCCGCGAAGCGGCGAACAAACGCTCGTAAGAATATTAAACGCGTAGAAATAAGAATTAAAATTTTATGACTAAACTGACATTTGAATTCGGGATTTGAAATAAAATTTGAACTCATGTTCGGAATCAGCATACTCGAAGCTCAAAAATATTAAAAAAGCCTTTCTTTATTTTATTTAGTGAGATAAAAATGCGTCACATAAACCAAATCTTTACTGATAATTTTGATTTGATACAGTAAAGCAGCTGGGCTATAGCTATTTCTCTCCTTTAGCTAGTGCAAAAGGTTAATCGGCGGCTGGGAGCGACCCAGCATCTTCAGTAGAACCGGACTGATGTTTATCCATTACTCCACGCCGCCTACTGCACAGCCTTATGCTACGCTTACATAAAAATCGCGCGCGTCTTGAGACAGACGCTCGGCGACAAGACGCCGGCGACAGTCGCTGCTTCGTGCTTACATAAAATTGGCGACTTCCGCAAAAGAGACTGTCGCAAAGCGACAAAACGCTAGTTTTATGTAAGCACGAAGCAGCGACTGTCGCCGGCGTCTTGTCGCCGAGCGTCTGTCTCAAGACGCGCGCGATTTTTATGTAAGCATTGAATGCGACTAATTTTTAAAAATATTTTATTGAAATTAAATTAAACAAATAAAATTAAATCATTTTATTCTGCCATGGTACCGATCAGGGGCCTATTTTTTTAGGTGGAAAAACTTTAAAATTTTTTCTAGGCCTAGGCTTAACCAAATTTAAAAATTTTTAAAAATTATTAAAGTTTGAATCATTCTCTATCTTTTGATATAAAATTTATAATTTTATTTTACAAAATTAGTGGTGAAAATTTACTTTGAAAAAGGTAATAAGAAGATATTTCCCATAGATCTATAGGGATATTTGCCTAGCGTATATATGGAATTTTTACTCGTACTTCGTACCTACGAGGACAAGTATGAATTTGCCTAGCGTATATATGGAATTTTTACTCGTACTTCGTACCTACGAGGACAAGTATGAATTTTGGTACGAGGGACACTAATCCTGCTTTAGGACACTAATCCAATCGGGGATTTAAAGATATTGGATGAACAATTGGTTGCCAAAAAATCAAAAATTTTCAAAAGATCAAAAGATTTGCCAAAAAATCAAAAATTTTGACCGGTTTATTTAAAAGTTATGAATTTCTAGCAAGGTACTACTTGTCCACTAAAAATGACTAGAAAAATCAATGGATTTGGAGGGATATCGAATGTAAGGCGGTGGGATATCGAATGTAATCGAATGTAATATACTTTTGTAACAGAGTGTATAATCCTTTTACCTATAAATCCTACTATTGTATTTTTAAAAACTGAATATCTCATCAAAAATACCGAAAAAAAGAATATTTTTTTGCAAAAAGTATACCTTTTTCAAAATCAATTTTAACCCATAAGATTTATCTTTAAAAATATAAAATTTATATTGATCGATAGAGAATAAACTGAACTTTCAGAATCTTTTTAAATTTTGAAAATCGGATCAGAATTGGCCGAGAAATGATCAAGACGCTAAAAGTTGTCGCCAAAAATTCAAACATGTTTGAATTAAAAAAAGTGTCGCCGGCGACAAGACGCCGGCGGAAGACGCATTTTATGTAAGCACCCAAAAAAGCGACAAAGTCGCGCGCGTCTTGTCGCCGGCGGAAGTCGCTTTTTATGTAAGCACTCAAAAAAGCGACAAAGTCGCGCGCGTCTTGTCGCCGGCGGAAGACGCAGTTTATGTAAGCACTCAAAAAAAGCGGCAAGACGCCGGCGTCTTTTTCTCTCCTCTTTTTACATTATCTTTTCTGTCGCAAGACGCGCGCGATTTTTATGTAAGCGTAGCATTAGGAAATTAATAGCTATATGCTTCACAATACCTATGCCTTTGGTAACTATAAATAAAAACAGTATTAATAAAAAAATTGTGATGAAAATAAGAATGAGACATAAAGTTCAAAATTACCGAAAATTTCTTTGTTAAATTAAAAATTAAAAATTAATCTATTTAAAAAGGCAAATGATTTATTTGACAAAAAGTTTGATGGTTTAATTAAATTGAATAATTTGAAATGTATATATGCGGTTAGTTTATAATTTAAAAAATTATTTAATAATTTTTTAAAGAATTTTGTTAAAATTCAAAATAAATGGAGTGAAATTTATAGTGGAATGAAATGTTGTGACAAAAATTGTATAAATACAAACAAACCAATTGGTAATTGTATTAAAGGAAATGGATTTGGAAATATAATTAATGATGAAAATATTAAATATTTAGTGAAAAAAGGAGGTAATTTGTTGAATTATTTTTTTTTGTAAATATTTTTAGGGGTTGATAAACAAGTTGCTGTTTATGCAGGAAATTTACTTAGAACCCAACAACAATATTATTGCAATTATCAAAATTATTATGATTATACCTTATTTTATTTTGAAATTAAATGTAAATTTGAAGGAGAGTTAAATAATTGTGGAAAATCTATAAATGTTGGTCTTAAAAATTGTAGTACAAATAAATTTGTTTACTATTCTGCAACCATTGCTATAATTGTAAACGAGAAAGATGAACAATTTAAACTTTCAACAGTTTTCAACAATAATGATATTTTTGGTTGTGGATTAGTTTATCCTCCAACTAATATGACGAATGAACTTCCATATATTTTCTTCACTCAAAATGGAAAACAAATTGGTAAATATTTATAATTATTCGTGCTGGTCTAGTTTATGCTTTCGATGAACCTTTATGAGCCCAATGAAGTTTTATTAGTGTATTGCAAGTTTATGAGCCTAATTAGGATGTGTGTACTGAGTAGTGTACCAATTCAGATGTATGTACCTAACATCTGAATTACAGAAGCAAGGTACTCAAATACTCACGGATTTCTAGCCCTTGAGCAAGTCAATATAAAATAAAAATTCTTATTTTTTAATTTCTCATTGGGCTTTAAACCTCATTGGACCTATAAGTGTTGATTGGACACATAAACTAGAACAGTGCTAGATTATTTTTTAAAGGTAAAGGTATTGCATTATTAAAGAACAATTTTGACTCATATAAACCATGTGTTTGGATGAACTGTTGTTCTGTTGAAGCTAACTTTGGAAATAATTTGGAGACAAAACCATTTAAATACGACATTTCAAAACATTTCCTTAAAGAATTTTATTGAAAAATTTGATTAATTTTGTTGTTTGATTTATTATTTTCAGTTTAACTTATCATTTCTTTTAAATATTTTTTTGAATTTGTTATATCAAAAACTGATTTTTGGTCCAACTTTTAATTTAAATAAATTATCATTTTAATTTATCTAGACTTTTCAAAAATTTTTTATTAAAAAATGAGAAAATTAATTCCTTGATAGAAGAAATGAAAAGGGTAAAAATAAATATTTGAAAATTTTTTTAAATTAAATTACAGTCGTCGACAAAAAGATAGAGACAAAATTACGACCTATACCAAATTTCAAAGGCTTTTAGATTGTCCTAATATAAAGATTTAATATTTGCAATCTGTAATGGGTTGAAAATATTTTTTAAGTCTTATAAAATATTTTTATACATATTTGATGAATTTTTTATTATTCTTTATCGAATTATTTAATTTATAAAAGTTTTTCTTTTGTTTTTTTTTAAATTTAATTTAATATTGATCAATTAACACATTTAAAACAATAGAAAAATGTTTTTGATATTTTTCTTCTAAATATTTTAAAAGTACACAAAATTAAATTAAGAAATTGAATTTTTCCTTTTAAATAAATGATCTGTTAATTTAAATGAAGGGTGGTATATAAATAAATATTTTTATTTTAAATAAATTAATTTAATTAAAAAATTCCCTTCTTTTTTTTATTGGGAAAGATTAACTAGTTTCTTCTCTAAAAATTTTTTTTAAATTGCTATTTTTTTTGTTTTCTAATACTCTCGATTATTGAGATCGAATGGTTTCTTTCTAGATTTTTTGGATTTTTTAGACCTCCCGTTTTCTTTTTTTCGGGTTTAAGTCAAATAAAAATGTCCTCTCTATTCCGTTACACCAAGGTGTTGAGCAAATTGAGAAGGCAAGTGCCATGTTATCCAGGTGAAAATAGTCCTGTACAGCTCTTACCAAATGCCAAAAAATAGTCCTTTTAGATTAGATAATTTTTTACTTGGAGGAATGTGAAAATATCCAGTTTTCAGTTTCTAAGCTGGAACTTAATTACCTGAAATAATCATCGAATAGTACTCAAGCATAGATTCTTTCTAGATTTATAACAGGGATTTTTGTGGTGGTGCCGTGTGATTTGGGCAGTGGTGAATTGGGCAGTGAGTAATTTGGGCAGTGAGTGATTTGGGCAGTAAACGTTTTTTAAAAAATAATTTTACACGCAAAAACAATTTGAGTAACGTCAGAAGAATAATTTTGAGTGATTTGGGCAGTAACTTAGAATTTTTAAATTATTTAAAATTGATAAGAAAATTTCGGAAATTTTTATTTAACTTAAAGTGAATCCAAAATTTGAACTTATTTTTCCAAAACTATTTTGACCTTTTTCAGATATTTTGGACCTATCTTGAGACCTAAAAACTTAAAATAGGAATTATTTCTCAATATTTCATACCTTAAATCTACTTATCACTTAGGGAAACGTCAAAATTGAGACCAAGACGATTTCAACAAAGGGTAATGTTGTACCTACAACGTTATCAAAATGAAAAAGGGGTGCGGTTCTTTGAATTTTTGTGTAAATAATTTAAAAATTCTAAGTTACTGCCCAAATCACTCAAAATTATTCTTCTGACGTTACTCAAATTGTTTTTGCGTGTAAAATTATTTTTTAAAAATCGTTTACTGCCCAAATCACTCACTGCCCAAATTACTCACTGCCCAATTCACCACTGCCGTTTTCACCAGACACGTTTGTGGTGAGCATAAGTCTAGCTTTTCATGTTTTCTGTATCATGTGACGGAGTTCGTAATGAATAATTCTAAAAAATTGCTCGGTAGCTGTTGCAATGACAAAATTTTAGTTTAAGACGTTAGGGTTGTCAGTTTTTCCAAATTCTTCGGTTAACCGAAACCGAACCTACAAATCGAACCGACAATTTTCGGTTTTTCGGTTCTGTTCGGTTTGAAACCTACAACCCTACTAGATGTATCTAATTTATAAATTCACTTTTTTTATATTCTACATATTTTCTTAATAAAAGTTTGATAGATCAAGATATTTTTCGGGTAAACTATTAGTTTGTTAACAATGTTCTCATTCTCCTTAATTTTAATTATTCAACTCCTTCAATTAATTTTTGCTTCTAAAAATATTTTTTCTGATATTACAACTTCTCTAAATACAAAATTAGATCCCTGCAAAGATTTTTATAAATTTGTTTGTGACGGATTTGAAAGAAAAATTAAAGTGTTTGTTTAAATAAAATTAAATTTATACAATTATAAATTTAAGTTCAGAATGTTATGAAATTAGTAATGCAGCGACAAGGAAAGCTGAAGTAGATGATCAACTAGAATGTAATAAATAAATTTTTTTTACTTGAAAAATTTTAATCCTAAAAATCATTTATTTTCAATTTTGATTCTTTTCTATTTTGTTTAACCCTAGTAATTATTAGATAGGGATCATTAGATCATTAGATAGGGACAATCGGCCCTATGCGGATAGGGTCGGACAATCTGTTTTGTTAACCAACAGCCAACATTTATCATGGGCGTATCATGGAATTTCGGCGGATTAAGAGGGATATAGGTGGATTAAGAAAATAAATGGGATTTGGATGATGATCCCGCGCATCACTGTCAATAAATTCCCAATACCCAGCACTGATAATGAGTAAAAGTATTGTTTTTGGTAAAATAATTTTAGCCTACTGTTTTTTTAAATTACTCGATTTACTCGTACTCGGCCTAAAAAATTGAACTCGTACTCGAACGCGGGGTTTTCAAACTCGGCATTACTCGAACTCGGCTTTTCCCCAATTACTCGTTTCTCGACTTACTCTAATTTTAACAGTGATACTAAAAACTACAAAATCACCACCCCCAAATCTCTCAAAAGGTCTAAAACAATTATTTCAAAAAATGTTTGAATTTCATCATTCTTGTATGACATGGTCTGGCAAAGAATTATTTGGAAGTAATGCTGTATTAAATAAATTAGAATTATTACATACTGATGGAAAAATGAAAAGGCCACAATTTAATACAGAATGGGGAATTAAGGCATTTCCTGTCGGTGGATTTTTTCAGCTGGTTACTATATTCGATACAAGGAAGGGTCGAACAAATTTAGAAAGGAAAATTGTAGGTAAGTGAATTTTAAATTTTGTGTGTGAGGGTTGAGGGCATTCAAATACTATCATTAATTATCACATGGCCAAAGGGTTTTGTATCAATAGTTTTAATTTTCTTCCGAGATGCCAGGATTTAGCTTACACTCTTCCATTTTTCCTTATTACCCTCCTCTAATATTGTTATCCAAAATAATGTAATAACAAAAATGAATCTTGTGCAATATATGTATCTAGGTACACTCAAACCTTGATATAGTGACCATCTTTTCACTGGTCACCGAGATTTTTCCCTAAAATGACCTTCTGTTCGATATATCGAGATTTGATTGTAGTATATACAAACGTAATTTCAATAAATAAAATATAGGTGTTCGTCCAATGTCATTAATTTCAAGTCAAAGTGATTGGAATTCAAATGGAAATGTAAAAAAATAATATTTTTGCCTCACTTAAAAATAAAATTTAAGGGAAACAAATTAATGGCCACCCGTTTTGGCCAAATAATTAATTCTTTACTTGAAGACGATATTGTCAGATCTCATCAATATAATGTTAATCCTGTACTCTTTCCTTTCTCTAATTATATATTGAAGGTTCTTAGAAGTTTTTAATTTAAGAATAGTTTTTAAGGGAGAAGTACCCCCTTCATGCTCAAAAACAAATTGCCCAATGAGTGAACGTTTAAAACAAATGGTTAAATCTGAGGCTGAGAGACGCGTAAAGAATTTATTGTTAGTTGAGCAAATGTTGGCAAAGCATTTTGGTCGGGATAAATTTTTTAAGAATTTTAAATATAATTTTGTTCGTGTAAGAGTAGTAAATATTATTTCATGCAAACTACTAATGATAAAGTAAGAGAATAAGAAACTCAAATTTGAGACTAAAAAATCTGATAAAAGTTCATTACCTAACAGAAGCATACTTCCTAATATATATAAGCACATCTTAGGAGATGAATGAAAATAGAGCTAGGAACGAGTCCGGGACCCGGACCCGGTTTCCGGGTCCTTTTTCCCGGTTATTTGAAGCAACCGGGTTGAAACCGGGAACGGGTTTTCCCGGTTTTTCGGACCCGGTCTATTTTTCAGAACCCGTTTCCCGGTCCCGGTTTTTTCAGAATTCTTAGCTCTAAATGAAAAATAAAGGTGTGGAAATTTGGTGTTAATTCATGAATTTGAATTATGTACTTATATGTTCGTATTTGAAATAGGAATATTTTATCGAAGATGTTTGATAAAAATATGTTTAAGAATTGTATTAGCATGTTAAATCAGTACTGATAAAATCTGATAGAAAATTTTAAATGATTCAAAAACTTTAATCATAAATAATATTTTAATATTTGCTTCTTCTATTTTTTAGACACAGACCCTCTCTATGAAAATGACCCTTTGTCACATCAAAATTACATTCAATTATCGCAAATTGACAAGCCTGGAGAATTTTTACCATCATTTAATTGGACAAATTATTTACGCTCAATATTGTCTCCAATTAATTATAAAATAAATTGGAGAACAGAAATTTATGTTTCTGAAGTTGGATTATTACAAAGATTGGCTAAAACTATAGAAAAATTAACAGATCAACAAATTGCTGATTATTTAGGTACTTTTATTAATATCTGAAAAACGAAGAATTAAATCAAAGACTGAAGGGATTGTGTCGACGCTTAGGTTCACGTTCCCGAATCCAGGCAAATTTAATTCATTCAGTTTCTGGAATTGGGATTTACCTTGATTCCCGTTTGAAATCATGCCTCGACTTAATTTAAAAATCTGGATCTCATAAATTCTTAATCGTGAAAAGATTGTTGGATGCTACAGATTGCGGCTTTGATTTTTGTAAATTAATAGCGGACTGTAAATTGGGGCTATTTAATTTGTTTCTATTGCTTAGAGCCATGTAGGGGATCTTTATCCAGATCTTTATCCAATTCCTTCAACTTCCAATCCCAAAACATATCGATCTCTAACTTAAATTTATTTAAAAATATTTATTATTTAAAAATAAAATTATTAGATTGGCAAATATTATGGACCTTTTTGCCTCAATTAGATTCACGTTATACCCATCCATATGTTGATGTAAATAAAATGAAAGGTTAAAAATAAAATTTTAGAAAAAATTTGAAAGAATTTTTGTTTAGATTCTTTTAGCGTTAAAAAATGTCCGTTGGATAGGCGTTGGATGAAAATGGAAGAAAAATGTAGAAAATTTATTGAATGGTATTTTCCACATTTTCTTGATCATCTTTACATCAAAAAATATTTGGGTAGAGGTGTTAAGGAGCAAGTTAAACAAATATTTACTGATATCTATGCTGCATTTAAACAAATGCTTGAATGTAAGTAAAAATAAAATTTAATAAAAATTTATAAAATATGAATTTAATTTTCGACTGTAAGCAAGAACACATAAAAATATTCCTGTTACAAAAAATTATTAAGCAGAAACTAAAAAAATATTTTTGTGTTAGTGGTTCTACCAGACTAGCACACGGATACTGATTTTGGTATCCGTATCCGCATATTTACGACGGATACAGACGGATATCCGCAGGGATTTTTATAATATCTGTATCCATATCCGTATCATATTTTGGTATGAAGAATCAGCAATAGAGTGTTCGAAGAACTGGTTTCTGAAAAGTGGAATTATAAGGAACTAAGTACATAATTTTGGTAAATCATGTCGTAACGGGGGTGGGTTTGGTTTTTGATATTTCTCAGTTATATAAATCAGATTTTAAAACATATTTTCAGCAAATTCATGGTTAGATTTAAAGGCAAAACAAAATGCTTTAATAAAACTTAAAGGAATACGTTCTGTTAGTGCTTATTTTGATCAGATATTTAATGACAATTATCTTCAACAAATTTATAGACCATTTTATTTATTAAAAACTGATGCTTTATTTCCTCATATTGTTTATCAATTAACTGGTAAATAAAAGATAAATATATGCACCACGGGTGGGCCCTGTCGCATTTTTAAATTTTTAAAAGCGGAACCGAATTGGCGGAAGGCGGAAGAAGAAAATTGGAAGGCGGAAGAAAGCGGACAGAAAAAAGCGGTAGGCAAGCGTAGAAGCGGAAGGGCGAAAAAAACGGTATTATGAGGAATGCGTAAACCGAATCTGCCTGAAATTTATTTATTACCTACACCAATTTAATCCATCTCTTCATACTCTCTATAGGAGAATTTCAATAAAAATTAAATATTTATTTCAGGATTAAGTTTACTTCGGCAAATGGCTACATTAGATTATTATGATCCTTCTTGGGGAGTTAATGCTTACTACAGCAGAGAAAACAATGCCTTAGTTACACTCAATGCTTATTTACAGCCACCTATATTTAACCATGATTTTCCAGCAGCATTTAATTATGCAGGAATTGGTTCTAAAAATTATGGGTCCTAACAAATTAATATTTTTTTAAAAAAGGAGTAACTCTTGGACATGAACTAACTCATGCTTTCGATGCTTGGGGATCTTATTACGACGCAGAGGGAAAGTACAACAATGATTGGTTGCTACCAGATATACGGCGTAAATTTCAAGAACGAAAGCAATGCTTTGTGAAACAATATGGAAATATTAAAGTAGTTAATAGTTGAAATAGTTAGGGAAATAGGACTATTGCTTAGAATCTGGAAAATAATGTTGTATTTTTAAATATGCACAGGAGTGTATAATAAGAGAGATTTGCCAGTTCATCTCCTTTATATTTTTAGATTGAAAGTATAGCAGAATATTTATATGGTAGGCAATTCCGGATATCCATAACCGAAAGGTTCCGTCCTAGATTTCCCAGAAACCTCCAAGACTGGTTCTATCATATAAAATTTATGAAATTTTTTTGCGAGCGCCTAATCAAATTTTCTTATAATATTTTTACTAACTATTCAAACACAAAAAGCTATCGTTTTAATTAAAGGTACAAGTTGATGGAACACTTTTATCAATAAATGGCTCATTGACAGCTAATGAAAATATTGCTGACAACGGTGGACTTATTGCAGCATTTAATGCTTTTCAACTGCTTAGACAAAAAGTTAATTATCCCAAGCATGTATTTAATGGTTTAAGACAATATAATGACGAACAACTTTTCTTCATTCACTATGCTTATGTATGAAATATTTTTTTGAAAATATTTAGTAGACACTCTTTGCTCTTAATTTAAATAGAAAAATAATTTTTATGAATTCAAATTTTGATTTTACACACACGAGGCTGAGAATGTTTGTAAAATCCTTCCACACTAGAGGTCGGTGCGGGACGGGATCCCGCGTTGCGAGATACCGCTCCCGCAATCTGCAATTTTTCGATTTGCGGGATTTTGCGGGAGTCCGGGATTAATCCCGCAGGAGTTACTCCCGCACACTTTTTTGAAATTTACTCCCGCATGCGGGACTAAGCATACACAATTTTTCAGACCTCTTTTCCACACTCCATTCAATTTAAAAATATACTTTAAAATTGAGGGTCTATGCATAATTTTTATGTTTACAGCGCCAATGCTCCAAGATGGGTCAAATATGGCTTAGGCAACGTCTCAGTGTGGGACAACACTCTGTAACACCTGCGAGAGTCAATGTGCCGCTTCAGAATTTTCCGAAATTTGCCAAGGCATTTAAATGTCCTTTAGGGTCAGCAATGAACCCTTATTTAAAATGTTCTCTTTGGTGATTATTTTTTGTATTTTAATAATTTTATTTAAAGAAATAAATGAAATAATTCTTGAATTTTTCAATTTATTTTAATAAAATCAAAAATACTTATACACTTCTCCACATAACTATAAGTTCACCCTAAATTTTCGAATTTCTTAACTTCTATCAAATCAATCGGGCTGATTTGTATATTCTTGTATCTTTGCTAATTCTTTTTTTCTGTATACTAGTGATGTTCGGGAATGAAAAAAGCCGAGAGTCGAGACCGGGAATCAGCCCCGAGACTCGAGACCGAGAATTTGTTGACAATTTATGGAAAATTTGGAAAATTGGTGCCGTGTGATTTGGGCAGTGGTGAATTGGGCAGTGAGTAATTTGGGCAGTGAGTGATTTGGGCAGTAAACATTTTTTAAAAAATAATTTTACACGCAAAAACAATTTGAGTAACGGTAGAAGAATAATTTTGAGTGATTTGGGCAGTAACTTAGAATTTTTAAATTATTTAAAATTGTTAAGAAAAATTCCGGAAATTTCTATTTAACTTAAAGTAAATCAAAAATTTGAACATATTTTTCTAAAACTATTTTAACCTTTTTCAGATATTTTGGACGTATCTTGAGACCTAAAAACTTAAAATAGGAATAATTTTTCAATTTCTCATACCTTAAATCTACTTATCACTTAGGGAAACGTCATAATTAAGACCAAGACGATTTCAACAAAGGGTAATGTTGTACCTACAACGTTATCAAAATGAAAAAGGGGTGCGGTTCTTTGAATTTTTGTGTAAATAATTTAAAAATTCTAAGTTACTGCCCAAGTCACTCAAAATTATTCTTCTAACGTTACTCAAATTGTTTTTGCGCGTGAAATTATTTTTGAAAAAACGTTTACTGCCCAAATCACTTACTGCCCAAATCACTCACTGCCCAATTCACCACTGCCGTTTTCACCAGACACCGGAATTTCACTCCCTTATAGTATGCAGAAATGACGCGCCTTATTTTTGCGACAAAATGACAGCTACAAAATTATTAATTAATCTAGCCGGTTTGTCGCGGGACTTTCGTTGCAGTTTGAGTTTTTTGCGCACTTACGTTTTTTCTCTTTTGCTTCTTGATTTGTTTAATTGTGTCTAATTAATCTTTTAGATTTTGTTTATTTTCAAACTTTCTATTGACAAAAATTAAAAATGTCGGCTATGATTCAACCTCTAAATCCAAAGCCATTTTTGAATGCATTGGCTGGTAAACCAATTATATGCAAATTAAAATGGGGAATGGAATATCGAGGTTTTAAATATTTATAGTTTCTTTTCTGACTAATTTTTTAAGGAATTTTGGTCTCTGTAGATGGCTACATGAATTTACATTTGGCCAATTCTGAAGAGTACATTGACGGGACTAATACTGGGGCACTTGGCGAAATTTTGATTAGGTTTGTTTATTTTATAGGGAATTTGATAAATTTGGATCCCCCTCCCTTTTTCTATTTTTCCTTTGAAAATGTGTTTGGTGGGCAGACTTTTTCCTTACATTCACTATTTTCCCACGACATTCCGTTAATAAAGAATTAGGGTACTTGTCGGTTATCCCTATGGACTTTTGCGGACTTTTTTTTGCGGTCACAATTGTATAGAAGAGTCAGAGTTTCTCTTTCCCCCATTTAAAAACTAATCAATCATTAGGGATTAAATTTGATTTTACGTGGGAAAATGTGGTTAGGAAAAATTTGACCTTCCCTCAAATTATTTTTAACCAACATTTTTAAGATGCAATAATATTCTTTGGGTGTCTGCTGCAGATGAAGCCGAAGCCTGATTTTATTCTTTAATGACCTGTTAAGCTATTTTACTATTTTTTCATTCTTGTAACTTATACAAATTAAATTTGAATAAACAAGTCTTTAATTGTGAATTCTGTTTATTTTTTTAAATTGTTGGGTTCAACACATACTTGTGACACGCCATTAATTTGGTTTTGATTAGAGATCGAGCCTGGTTCAAGCTCAAGCATGTTGCCTTGCTTTGACTTCCTTGAGGATTCTTTAGTCCAAGGATTAGAAGTACTTGTGTAGTTTACTCCCCATAAGTCCTCCACTTTTTCCTTTTTTTTTTTAAATTTCCACAAGCACCGCCCCTTTTCATCATATAAAATGACCATTTGGTCCATATTTTCTTACATGTCTCTCACATTTATCCTTGTAATTAAGGTCCACGCCAGTTGATTTTGAACAATAGTTAACATGCCTCTTTAAATATCTCGATCTCTAGTTCTAACCTTTCGACTAACTTTTATTTTATCATTTTAGTCAAAGTTTTTATTTGGAATATTCGATAGATGGCCGGAACTTTAGATGAGACGTCTCGAAGTTTTGAACGTATTGAAAAGGAGATTGCTCTTGAAGCTTTAAATTCTACAGCAACCCCAGTAGTTCCAGATTCTTCAGCGACCCCACATTCATCGCTTTTTGCGGTTTTTAAATTTATTTTTCGTTTATTTTCATCATATTCAGCCTCTGATTATACCAAATTTCAAACAAGCGGATCCAAATCCTCCTTTGTTTCACAGCACTCCTCAACAACAATTTGGGAAAATGCAAAGGCCTGGACTGTTCAAAAGGTTTTTTTGTCCTATTTTTTTAAATTTTATTTTTTTAAGCTATAACAATCTACGAACTCCTGGAGGTCGTGCTTTCTCTCCAATTACAGAAGAGGGTCGAGATGATTTGGACAGACTTGTCTCGGATGTGATTAAACTGCGTGGTGATGCAGGCGACAAAATTGTTCAAAATTTGGCTGCTCAATTAAGAAATATGATTGCTAAATGGGACGTGGCTCAAGCGAGGCATAGACAAGTGGCCAAAATTGTATAAAATTATTTACGAAATATTTTTTTTTATTTTTTATTTTCTCAAGTATTTTGGACGGCAACAGGATGATTTGAATGCACAGTGGGAAAAACTTAATTCAGAGAGGGCAAAATTTCAACAAGAAAAAAGCGATGAATGGGCAAAGATTGCATCTGTTCGTAGTGGTCTTCAACGAAATAAAGATATTGCAAATGCTAAAAAAGATTCCGATACAATAAAACATTTGGAATTACAGGTTTATTAATAAAAATTATTAACAATAAGTACAACGTTTGATTTATAGAGTTTAAGATTAATTATTTTAAAAATTCATTCGAATTCCAATTCTGGTATTTTTGAGATTCCACAAAAATTCTGACATTTTATAAAATTAAGCAACTTTTTAGAGTGAGTCTAAGGCATTTTTGGATTATCATATTGGTAGATTCGCATTTCGTTTTATTTTTAGGGATTTCTTTAGAGAAGTACATTGTTAGAGGCGTTCACCTTACGTACATTTTTCAGATTTTTTAGAGACATTGGGTGGTTAGCTGTTTAGTTGATGTTTTCTATTGTAGGCACAGCTCATCCTTACGTATACTTTTCAGCCTTTTAGGATTAGGTAAAATTAGATTTGGCTATAAATTTTAAAAATTTCTAAATTTTTTGACTAAAACCTCTTAATGACTTAATCTTCTTTTAAGCTTGAAAAGTTAAGAACAAAAGATCTTCTCTCCTCTCAAAAACTTAGTGAATTACGTATAAAAATTAAAGAATTGGAAGGAGAAGTCAATGTTCGTGAAAAATCATTTAAAGAAAATATTGTAAAAATTAATAATTATCGAGACCAATTGGCTAGGACACAGGTTTTTTTTTTGAAAATTTATTTTGAAAAATTTTTTGACCCTATACGCAAAAGAGGGGGTAATCGTTTTTTTTCCTTACTTTTTTCCTTTCCATATTTTTCATTATTTTGTACATTATGGTCAGACTTTTTCCTCTGTTTACTTCCAATGAATTTCCCTGTGGCATATTTAAATGAAAAGATTGACAAAACAGGCACGAAGACGGACAGACAAAACACGGACGGACACAGAGACAAAATACGGACGAAGACGGACAGAACCAACACGGACTGACACAGACAGACAACGGACGGACACAGACAGACAAACACGACACGGACGGACACACAGACAACGGACGGACACAGACAGACAAACACGACACGGACGGACACAGACAGACAACGGACGGACACATACAGACACGAAGACGGACAGAACCAACACGAACGGACACAGACAGACAAAACACGGACGAAGACGGACAGAACCAACACGGACGGACATGGATGGACAAAACACGGGCAGTCAAAGTTAGAAAGGAAAAAAGAAAGAAAAAAATAAAGGAAAAATGGAAAGGAAAAAAGATAAGAAAAAAACGATTACCCCCTCTTTTGCGTATAGGGCCAATTTTTTTATTTTAGCAAGAAAATTCCAATCTTCGAACAAAATTAACTTTAATGAAAGCAGAAAAAGAAAAGCAACAATCGGAGGCAGCATCTCAACAGACTCTTCAACGGGCTAACCAGTCTGGGCCTAGAAACACGCTTATGAATGTTTTTCGTGCAAATCAACTTTCAAATCGAATGGATACTAGCTTACATGTAATTTTATTTTAAATGAGAAAATGTACTTTATTCGTATAGAATTCTTCGTCTTTCTGTTCAACTTCATCAGCTATTCGTCGAAATAATTCTTTTTCGTTTGGAAATACCCAACACCAACAACAGTCTAATATTTTGCGAAATAATCAATCTTTCACGAATGGTGGACAAAATATGCAGGTTATCCTTAAAGATGTAAAAATTGTTTTTTGTTTCTTTTTTTAAAGCTTGTTACGAAAAAATTTTTAAAATAAAAGGGGTCTGAAGTAGAGGTCGGCAAAATTGTGTTTGCGGGATCCCGCATTCGGGATTTTTTTTTAATCTTTGCGGGACGGTATCCGCGGGATAAATCCCGCAAATCGAAAAAAGTGTGGGATTGTGCACTAATCATCTAGTCTTATGATTAGTAAGCCTAAGAATTTAACAATAAGCAAACAAATTGCTTAGAAACGATTCCAATTTGTTTTTACTTTTTTTTACGATTTATTTTTTTAGTCTGCTCCACGTGTCCACTTTGCCGATGATCCTATTAATTTATTTCCTGCTTCGTCTAATCGCTCAATGTCTTCTACTACTAGCGAAGAAACTTCTTTAAATAAACGTTTTGAATTACCCTCTGAAATGGTTTGTTGCTTTTTTTTTGGTTTTTATAATTTATTTTCTTTTTAGATTTATACAGCGTATCAAATGACAGAACGTGGAAAAGAACATACATTTAGTGATGGAAATAATCAAATTATTGTTGTTGAACTTTCAGGATGTGATCAGCCTTTATATTGTAGATATTGCCTTTTATATGAATATTCATCAAAATTAACCGGGGAAAATGAAAATAATTTGGTGGATGCTAATTCAATTGATTTTCGTTGGATAAGCGTTTCAACGTTGCCAATATTTAATTCTAATGAAAACAAACACAAAATTGAAGTAATTTTTAGTTTAATTAATTTTTTTAATAACTTTTGATAATTAAACCAATCAAAGAGATTCTTGCGATATAAAATTTTATTTGAAGCAACTGGATTGATTTAATTGACTCAAAGACATACATACGGGGACATTGGGATATTTCAATGCACAAACAGTTACCCTGCTGATTTCGGAGCCTTTGGCTAATGGGTCTGGGATAGTACTTGGTCCTATTGAAAAAAAAGTTTATGTTTTAGAACAAACGTAGACACGCACGAGGTTATTTTTCTCATAGCAATCCCGATTTTCTCAAGGCAAACCCCACCATTTAACAATAAGCAAGAATCCGGAAGAAATGAAAATGTGAGGAGAGCGTGGAATAATTTTCAAAATTACTAAGAAATTTCAAATAATTTTCTAAATTTTTACAGATCAATTTTTTTCAAAAAAACAATTTTTATCAAATAATAACACCATTAGGAAATGTTATTAAATTCTTTCTTTCTGGCCAATTAGAAGTTTACTGGAAATGTGGTGATAAAACAATAGTACGTCCAGATGGCGAAAGACATGAATTTTTTAATCCAGAAAAACCTGATTATTATATGGAAATGTTTGTTTTTTTTACTTTTTTAATTAAAAATTTTTCAAATTTAAAGTTATCTTCCAAATGGAACCGCTTTTCGATTAAAAGCTTCAACTCAATGGGAAAGAGAAGAGTTTGTTCCTAATACGTCTGCAATGTCTCTTCGTTCAGATGGGTCTCATTCTATCTTATACAATCAGGTATTTGTAAGGATTTTTTTTAAATTTTTCTAGGAAATAACTAGATTTTTATTAATTTTATGGAGTTAAGCAAGAAATTTTGAGAGAACTTTTTAGCCTAATTTTTCTAGATAAATTGGAGGGGCCCCTAAATATTTTTATTTAAATTTATTTTCTGTTTTTTAGCAACCTCAGGAAATGTCAAGTTTACAAATAGATGCTCCAGATTTTAAGGTTTTTGTTTTATAATTTCTTTAAAAAAATTTAAAGTTTTTTTAAAGCTCCGTCGGTTTGATTTAACAAAAGCAGTTAAGATGGTAATACCAGAAGTGTCATCTTTTAATGGTGCTAGTTTACATGTTTGGTTTTGCGTTGACAAAGTCGTTATGGTTAAACACAATCGAAGTTGTAATTTGAATAATTCTGAAAATGGTGTCCGTGAACGAAAGAAATATGGTAATTTTTTAAATAAAAAATGATTCTTGATTATAACTAGGGTTGCCGTTTTCGAGTCGGGCCGACGATCGAGTCATTTTTTCGGGCTTCATTTTTATCGAGTCGGGCCATACAAGTCTTTTTCGGGCCAAATATCTTATGCCCGACTCGATCTTTCGGCCCGAGTCGGGCCATTTTGGTAATCCTAGTTATAACAAACATACTTTAAAAAATTGATGTGTGATATGTCGATTCATGACTCGAAGATTTTATGTTGAATTTAAAAAATTTTTTTATCTTCGACGCGACTCTGATCATAACAAAAATATACATGAAATATTATATGTAATTTTTAAAGATCAATATGTTTGTTTATTTCGTGGCAAATGTGAGCATATTAGAGCACCACCAACAAATGGTTGAAGTTTAATTAAAATAATGCAGTTTTTGTTACGATGCAATAAAAGAAAATATTAATTTAAAATTGGATATTTATTTTTGGTTTATTTGTAAATATTTGGCATACATAATTCTGTAAAGATTTTTTAAACATGCTAACTCCTATCAATAAAATTAAATTTATGATCTCAGGCAATTTTTGTTGTCATTGCCTTGAATATATTTTTCAATCAGGCCTCATTATAAATATACTTAAAATACAAAATGCCTAGTCGGTACTGCCTAATTTAAGTAACGTTCTTTAATCCATCTAAAAAATTTTTATGGTGAGGTTCTACTATATTCGTTTAATTCATTTAAAATATAGGTGCCTAAATCATTTATTTTATTCACTTAATTATTTACTTAAATCATAAATTTCATTTAATTCGAACTTTTAAAATAAAATATATTTTTAAATAATTTTTAACTCATGCATAGTTTAGTGAATAATATTTTTCGAAATTTAAAAAAAATTTTAAATTTAAAAATTAATTAGATATGGAGAAGGTCGATAGAAAGGATTCTTCGAGAAATAAAAAATTTGTTCATCAAAGAAAATTTAATAAAGCAAAGCGAGAGGATGAAGCTGACGACAAAAGTGAATCAGATATCTCGAAACGGTATTTAGTTTTTACATTGGGGAATTTGATCGGAATTATTTAAAAACCAAAGTTAACTAAAAACTTTGTCGACGTTAATTAAAAGAAATGATATTTTTAAAATAATTCCTTCAAAAGTAAAATTTTCTTTTTCGTGAGGAAAGGGAGGTCGGTCACCAACCCAGATTATGTAAAACACTAATTTGAGAATTGTTTTCAATGGGAGCAGGCCAATGACCGCGAGCCCAATGTACCGGCGAGCTATGACTTTTTTAAGATTATCGAATCCGGGACACCGTGGCGTGGTTCGATGCATTTCGATGAGCTTAGTCTAACACGGCGTCAGTCTCCACGGCGTCACGGATTCGATAATTTTAAACGAAGGTTCATTGGGGTGGGGTGTACGGTTCATTGGGGTGTACCTGTTTTCAGTCTCTTTAAAGTAAGATTCTAGTAGTTGACATTAGAATAGAAAAATTGGACTTTTCGGATTCAGATTATGAACTAATTTAATAATTCGAGTTACGCTCCATAAAAATGTTTCTACTTTTTTTACCCTACATAATCAAAAATAATCGTTTTTTACAGTTTATCTTAAATCTTTAATTGAAAAAAATTCTCAATAAATTTAGAAAAGATTATGTAAGTGCTTATAAACGTGCTCAACAAAATTATAAAAAATTACGAGAAGAAAGAAAAAACGAAATTGAACGTCAAAAGATTGAGCAAGAAAAGAAGAGGGAAAAAGCTAAATTTGAAAAAGAGTGGCGTAGAAAGTAAAATTAAAAAAAAACAAAATTTTTTAAAATTTATCCTTTAATTTAGAAAAAATCATGTTTTGCAACTTAGAACGAGAAAAGGACAACCTAATTTAAATGCACAAATTGGAATGATTTTAGAAAAATTGGAAAAAGATAAAGAAACTAATTAAATGATTTAAATGGACCATTTTTATGACATCCCTTTTTTCTGAAATTTTTTTACTATGTTTTTTTGGAATTTATAATAAATTGGAATTTATAAACCTTCAAAAATTTCATTTTCACGTAGAATTCAACCCCATCCTGGCAAGGGTGGTTCACCGCCTACGGTGGGAAGTTCTAACTTGGAGTCGTTATCCAGAGGCAACAACCTTCGCAATTTTTACGGAAGTAGACCTCAGAAGAGTTGCCGTCCAGAAAACTTAAGTAACTCCCAATCTCTGTGCCCTCGTCCCGCGGGGAACGGGGGGGGGGGAATTACATAATCTATTAATTTATCCAAATCCACCTATATCCCCTTTGATCCCTCTTGATTACTCGGCGGGGAAGTTTGTCCAAACCCCAAACCAGGAAAGTTGTTTTAAGGACATGTGGAAAGTTGTTCCATTCCGTCTAATAGTGGAAAAGTTCGCAATGGGCATGTGGAACTAATGTTTTTGCTCATACTTAAAAACTTAGTGAATACCGATTTTTCAATCACGAGTCGGTATCGGTATCATTATTCCAAATCGCAATGCCGATTTTTTGTTGATACCGATACCGCTTAATTCTAAAGTTAAATATTAAAAGAAATACAATCAAAAGAAAAATAAAAGAGGATAGTTTCAGAGAATATAACAAAGATAAATAAATATACCAAAATATGCTATAATGTTGATTAATGCAAAAATAGCTGCCATCCATTTACCACAATTTATCCATGCTTGGCGAATAGCTTCAAGAATGTCTCTTTTTTGCGGGTTTGCGTCTCAGAATTTTTTGAAGAAATTAAAGGAAAGGAAGGCTTTTTACTTATATTTTTAGTATCTTCACCAAAAGTTAAATAATTAAAAAAATTTCCATCCAAAGTAGATGAACATGCTCCTTTTGTTTCTTAAAATTAATTTTTATTTCAGGAAAGATTTTTATTTCAAAAATTACATACTTAAGAATTTGTTTGCACTTAAAATTCCGCCGATAACCAAAATTTCGATAAATTTTGGGGACCAGCTTTCTGGGATCACCATTATCTCATGTTTTATTAGTTTATCGTAATAATTAATATTTAGCACCATTTTTAATTTATTTTTAATAATCTAGGAGGACATGACAGAGATGTTATCTTTGTTCTTTTATGTTTGTTCTCCATATCAGAAAATTCTAGACTATTTTAGAGTAAATCAAAAACTGTCACTAATTATGCTACAACTAATAATTTTTAAAATTTTTAATCACAAAACCTGTGGGTTGCTGTTGTGGATTGTCTTCAATAATTTTCTTGTCACTCTTTATTAAACGATTATCTTGACTTTTTCTATTATTTTGATTTGAATCAGAATTAATAGTTGGATTTTTATCAGAATTGTATTGTTGAATATCTTTATTTTTCTCATCTTCTTTATAATTCTGGCTCATTAAAGAAATAGAACGACGTTTACGATCTTGGGCAAAATAACTTGGAGATGCTGGTGAATGTCCATCAGAAGCAGTACTTTCAGTATCAGAATCTTGTGGTTGATTTAGATGATAGACAGATGGATATACTGATTGTGGATTGCTTGAAGAAGATGGACTATTTGGATAATTATCATCGGAATATGAAACAGCTGGTTGTTGGTGTGGATGTTGAAACCAGGGTATTAGTTGTTGGTGAGGGTGGTGTGGATTATGGTGGTGAATAATGTTTTGAGGCTGTATTTGTGGATTTAACTGTGGCTGTATTGGTGGGTGTAATTGTGGATGTATTTGTTGTTGTATTGGTGGATTTATTGGTTGGTGGATTTCATTCATTTGTTCATTATTTCCACCATTATTTCCCTCGTTATTTCCGCCATTCTGTCCGTGTGCTCGTCTAAAATGCCAAACATTTCTTAACCAATTCAAATCAGGTAAAGTGCAGCGAACTTCATATAGGTATTCAACAACACGTCCGACAATCCAGACAAGATAAAGAATACCAAATGATACATAAGTTTTTAAATAATTTATTTTTTTCATTGGCACATCAGGAAATAAAGCTTTCAATATTGCGTGTCTTTGTTCTCTTGATCTTCTATCTCTTTCGCTACTACTAGGTGAACGCTTTTTACGATGATAATTTTCTGAATTGTTATATTGAAGCATATATGGATTTTGTTTTATATTGTTCTATAAAATTTAATTAAATAAATATACACATATATCTCCGTTATTTGTAATTTAATTGTGTTTTAATTTTAATGATACGTTTAGATTTATAGTAGTCATTATTTTATTCATAACTCAGTCAGATTTCGATTCTATTACACGAAACTAAAGGGTTTAGAAGAATACGAAACTAGAATATACACGAAACTAAAGGGTTTAGAAGCTCCCCTCATGCACTGATCAGCCAAAAAAATTGCAGAGTAAATTACACTTTTATTGTGTTTTAATTTTAATGATACATACATGTGGGTATATTGGTGGGTGTATCACTTTTGGCAAAGTAAATAAAAGTGTAATTTAGCCGACATAAAAATAAATTTTTTCCTGGGAATCATATGGCTAGATCCCTAGTTTATATAGAATCGAGCCTATTACTTTTGGCAAAGATAATCGGTCCCATAATTTATTTTAAATAAACCTAATTTTCACTCACTTCGTTAACATCTGACCAAACTACATTATTTAAATTAATGTTAAAATTTAAAATATTTTTTTCCAAATTTTCTGATAATACAGCTTTTTTTGCTTCTTCTAAATTTATATTTATCAATTTTAAAATCTCTTCAGAATCATTTATTTTTCCACCCTCAATAATTATTTTTTGTAACATAATTTCTCTATTATTTCCCCCTTTCCCCCATTTAATTATTTTAATAAATTTATTTATTAAATTAAATATGCCTTTAAATTCGTTTTTAATGTCTTCTGGAGTTAAATTTTGATTATTCCAATTTTCTAGAATTTTTGTTAATTTAATTAAAAATTTTTTGGCATGTTTCCTTCCGTAAAAATAAATTGGAATAAATATTTTATTTTTATTTTCTTCATTATTTTGATTTATAACCGAAATAATTTCAAACATTAAATTAATAATTTCATTAAATAAAGGATTAAATAATTTCCAACTTTTTTTGAATATTTTATTTTTACTTTTGTTAGCCTTCTTTTCAATTGAATTAATTAAATACTTAAAAAAGCTCAATTCTTTATCGTTAATTTGTTTGGAATTGTTGAGTGAATAAATTGGTGTAGTTTGGAAATCAATTTGTTCAAATGTAAATTTGGAATTGGAATTGTCTTTAAAATTAATTATTTAGTAGAAATTGAATTTTACTTGAATCTTCCCCCATTAGGGGGAAGAGAAGAAGAGAAATCAGGGGGAATCTTACCTCGCTTACCCCCATCAGATTTTAATAAACCTAACTGAAAATGGAATGAAAACAGAGCATAGTCTCTAATTTTAGCTTTAACACGTATATAACCTACCCAGATTTATCAAACATTTAATTGAATTTCTAAATACATTATCACTCCACTCAGTTTGATCAAAATAAATATTGTCAATTTTTTCCTCCAATTCAATCTTTTCCTCTTCCCCCATAAAATCTGTTAATTGCTCCTCTCCAACGCTATATGAAAGTATTATTGTTCTGATTAAAAGATTTAAATCCAAATTATTTAAAGAACTCTTGAACTGTGAAATAAAGAAATCACGTATTTTCTCTTTATTTTCAATAAGTTCAATGTAGTAATCAAGACTCGAATTATTCTTTGAATAGTTATTATATTCAAAAAATGGATGCCAATCAGTGAAGTTAATACTCTCATTTGTCTAAATATTAATAAATTATTTTCTAAAAGTAGATATAGTGTAATCGCAATATAACGACATCTTTCAGGTCGAACTATTGACGTTGAAAGGAAATTCACGTAGGACCAAATCAGGCCAAACCCGCCACTCGTAAATGAATTGAGGTAATATTTGGAGGAGAATGAGATTTAATATCGCGCGTTGTCATTTAGAGTTTCCACGTATGTTTTTGTTGTAAATACCTGACTACTAATTACTGGCTTCTTGTAGCATTCCGGATTAAAATACCAATTCAACAACTTTTTCAGCTTTACTGGATCAAAAATATTTTGTTCCTCAACAAGTCTTTTAAATCCAGATTCGGAAGCAGGATTTAACAACTTCATTATTTTCATTGCCAATTTCAATTCCTCCCTTTTTTGTGTGCCCACAATCCCCAAAAATGTTTGTATGTCCAAATTTTGAATAGCATTATGAATTATTTCTGCTATATACAAAGGTCTAGTAAGCATAAAAGATCGCAAAAAGATTTTGTAATTTCCATAGATTTCCGAATGTTTTTGTTCTCTTTCTAAGAGAAATTCATCAACACATTCCAAGTAGCGATTAAGATGTTTAATCACATTTTTATCAGTCATATTATTTTCAATGATTCCCTTAATTTAAAAATAGTTGAATCTTGCTAACACTGTTAACTGTTTTATTAATGTTGAAGACACTGGAGATAGTGAGGAAGATAAATTTTCTTATGATAACTCATGGACGAGGGTGAAAAATAGTCTCCCTAGAGTGCTATTCTAGCAAATACGGTATTTTAAAGCTAATAAACTTTGTAAACAGTTTGGGCGATACTTCTGACAGTGACTGTATAATCATGGATTTTTTAACTATTTATTTAAACTAGCCTTGATTGGATCCTTTATTTGGTTTCCTTCTTGATTACAAAATGCAAGAATTCCTTTAAATCGAGAACGGTCATTGTAAAAAGCCAACCCATTCAAAAGTTGATTTCCACAACTTTCTGGGTCAATACAAATTTTAGA